AACAGAAGTGTACCCCCCACCCCCAACCTACAAACTTCATTTCAGCAACAGTGAAAGCTTTACAAAGCTAAACGGGATAATAAGTGAACAATCAGAAATTTCCCATCAGCTCAAAGGTATTTCTCATTAAAGGCATTGCAACTGAAGTTTAATAAATAACCACTGATGGACACTGATCCTGCTGTTTGTTAGAAAAATTACAAACATCCCTGATCTTTTGTTACTGAAAACAATGAAAAATGTCGAAACACTGTGAAGCTATATAAGTATTTCTATTGCTTCTAATCCTGTAATGAACTGCTGAGGTGATGACCATTGACACCCCCTCCCCCTCTCACCCCCCCCCCCCCACACACACACACAACAGGAGTCCTAAGGTTAATGGGCATCCAGTCAGTTAGTAAGTGCCTTTTGTTTAGATGAACTGCTGGACTTCCAGACCAGCAGGTTTAGGGACTTGCTTATGGGGTCACACTCTGACCCCCCCACACACACACACATGTATTTGTTTGTAGGTTCTGTTTTGAATGCTTGCTGTGCTTCACTGATCCTAAACCAGTTTAAGAAGAACCAGCGAGAAACATCTGTGCAGAGTCGCTGACAGTGAGATTTTTCACAATGATGATGATGTTGCTGACTTCACTGCTGATCACAATCATGCTCAGACTTCAAGGTGATGAGTAATATGGTTCTGTTGTATTCTCTATTATGTTGTAATTTACATCACACTGTCATTTTAACAAAGTAACATATTTTAATTTCCAGGATCAGATGCCAGTTCATCTGTGACTCAGTCTCCTGTGTTTAAGGCTGCTGCTTTGGGGCAAACGGTCTCTCTGAGCTGTACAGCCAGTAAAGGAGTTGATGATGATCTCAGTTGGTATCTACAGAAACCTGGACAGCCTCCCAAACTGCTGTTTTACAAAATCAGCAGCCGTGAATCTGATACTCCGAGTCATTTCAGCAGCAGTGGATCTGAGCCTGAGTTCACTCTCACAATCAATGGAGTTCAGGCTGCAGATGCAGGAGATTACTACTGTATGGGAGCATATAGAGGCCCAGAGTTCACACAGTGATACAGAGTCGTACAAAAGCCTCCCTCAGTTACTATTTGCAGTGTTGCAGCTGTGAGCTTCTGATACAGACTTTGACATGCATCACTGGTTCACTGACTCCACTTTCAGAGGTGGAAACTAAAATATTTATTCATTCCTGATCACATCATTAAGAAGATTTTAAATTAAGTAACACTGTTTAGAATCTGCACCATATTATCCTTATTTCACTACATTTTGCATTAATTCTAATTTGCTGTGCATAATAAGGTAATATGAAAATAATTTTGTTCATACAGTACATTTTAAATCACAAAGTTATAAGGTGTTTCACATTTTAAATAAAATCAACTTATAAGAAATACTTTTTTATATCACAACATACATAAATACATATTTAAAACTAATTGGTGACAACAAAGGTCAAAATTAAACAGCCAAATGATCAGGATAACGAAAACGAGCAAAAATTGTAGAAAAATGCATTTGGTTAATTTTATTAATTTGATTAGTAAAATTTTAATATTAATTCTACAGTTTGCCAGAAGGCCACAAAGGGAGGCAAGAGAAGATCTGGTGTTCTTTGATGATACTTTGAGTCAGATTTTTGCAGTATTAATTTCTTGAGAAAACCAGACTGGATGGGCTTAGAGGTT